CTGCAGAAACAAACACAAGCAGCAGGGCTTTTTTAAGGCAACAGACTTTGGGAGCTCCACCTGGTTTCCACAGCTTCCATCTGGCAAGCCGGCTTGAAAGGCAGGCTGCCATTAACGTCGGCCTACAATTGGCCGAATTTCCGGACCGGCAGCTCCTTAGGCTGGTTCCGTCGGAGGATCGGATCGCGGTACTCCAGACCAGTGTTCCCTCTAAGCTGAGTTAGTGTGAGCTAGCTCACAGTTTTTTAGCCTCCGGCTCATACATTTTTGTCTCAGCTCAGGAAGGAGAGCTCCAGAGCAAACTAATTTATGCAGTAGCCAAATCACTTGCTCACAACTTTAAGGCCAGTAGCTCACAAAATAGAATTCTTGCTCACAAGACTCCACAGCTTAGAGGGAACATTGCTCCAGACTGTGGAGTCTCCTTGCATGCAAAAGTAGGAAGAAGAGTTCTGTTGCCCCCCCCCCACACTCCATGGAGTGGTTTGGTCTGCCTGGCACACAACTCACCCCACCGGTGGTCCACCATCCGATCAGTATCCCTGAGAGGCAGGCGGATCGTGGAGAATTGTCTTAGCTACGCAGGCGAATTCTGTTTATTTGCTGTGAAGCCATTCGACACCTCTCTTAGCAACACCAGGCCATCTCTGCCTGTGAGAATATCCACCTGCCAAGGGAGCCTTCAGACGTCGACGCCACCCTGGTTGGGGTGCCGTCAAACGTCCCTTCCCGGAGCAGACTGGCCGGCAGAGTTTTGCCATTTCAGGGCACCACAAATAATTACAGGAAGCAAAAATCCCCCCTTGTCAAGTACTGTGAAGACCGGCACTCACTCCATCTATAACACCTGATTGCTTTTATTTTACATGTTTTGCTGTCAACTCTCAGCTGTGTTAGCGATCCCGTAGCAAGAGAACACATTCAGAGCCCAAGGGGCACCTTTAAGACCAACAAAGGTTTGGTGTAGTGGTTAAGTGCGCGGACTCTGATCTGGGAGAACCGGGTTTGATTCCGCACTCCTCCACTTGCGCCTGGCTGGATGACCTTGGGCAAGCCGTAGTTCTGACAAGAGCTGTTCTTGAAAAAGAGCCATTTCTGTCAAGAGCTCTTCTGTCAAGAGCTCTCTCAGGTGCAAGTGGAGGAGTGGGGGAATCAAACCCGGTTCTCCCAGATTAGAGTCCGCGCACTTAACCAGGACACCAAAGTGGCTCTCTTATCAGAACTATGGCTTGCCCAAGGTCATCCAGCCAGGTGCGAGTGGAGGCATGGGGAATCAAACCCGGTTCTCCCAGATTAGAGTCCGTGCACTTAACCACCACACCAAACTGGGCTCCGGGAGGACTCCAGAGCAAACTGACTCATGCAGCAGCCAAATCGCTCGCTCACAGCTTTAATGCCAGGAGCTCACAAAGTAGAATTTTTGCTCGTAAAAGACTCCGCGGCTTGGAGAGACACACCAGAATTACAACTGATCTTCACACCAGACAGGTCAGTTCTCGGGGTGGTGGGGGGGAAGGCTGCGTTGGAGGGTGGGCTGTATGGTATTATACCCAAGGGGGGTCCCTCCCCTTCCATAACCCCACCCTCCTCGGGTTTCAGGAGCCCCCCAGTCCACAGTTGGCCTCCCTAGTTTACTTATTCTGTGATGGTGTGTGGGAGGGAAGGTCTTTTTTGAGGGGTTTTGTGTTTTTTTTGCAGTATTTCTTCCCCAAACACAAACGGCATGGGTTACACAGACAAAACAGAAGCCCAGGTAGGGAGACGCTACGAGAGACCCGGCCAGGGTAGAGCCCCGAGACGGCCGCTGCCGCCACCCCCGCCCCTCAGTTGACGCTATCCTCGTCGCTCCCTTCGGCCCGGTCGTCTTTGGTCTCGGATAAGCTGCTCTCGTCGATGTTCTCGAGGGAGGCGGCGTGCTGGATGGAGAGCTCGGAGAGACCCACCGTGGGCAGCGTGCCCTGCTCCGGGTAGAGCCAGGGCTTGAAGTGGGGGTTGTGTTTCTGCTTCCAGTCCGGGTACTTCAAGCAAGCCTTGTACATCTTCTTCATGGCCTGCGGGGGGGGGGGGCAGAGACAGAAGGGGCGAGTCAGTCGAGTCGGAGGGAACGGCACAGGAAGCGGCAAAGGAAGCGGTCAGGGGACGGCGTCTGCGGACAGGAATTTGAAACCCGGGTCCTTCGGGTTTGAGCTTAATTGGTCTGAAGGTCCAAAATCAGCCTGTCTTTCTCAAGCTCTCGGCAGTCTTTTCTGGGTCCTGAGTGGGGTATGAGACAGGCAGCCCTATACAATAGTGAAGAACCTCAGAAGAGCCCTGCTGGGTCAGACCAGGGAGGGTCCATCTAGTCCAGCCTCCCGTCTCACACAGGAGCCAGCCAGTTCCTCTGGAGGGCCAGCAACAGGGCAGAGAGGCCGAGGCCTTCCCCTGATAGGAACCTCAGAAGAGCCCTGCTGGGTCAGACCAGGGAGGGTCCATCCAGTCCAGCCTCCTGCCTCACACAGGGGCCAGCCAGCTCCTCTGGAGGACCAACAACAGGGAATAAAGGCCAAGGGGGCAGAGAGGCCGAGGCCTTCCCCTGATGTTGCCTCCTGGCTCTGGGATTCAGAGGTTTAGCGACTCTGAATGGGGAGGTTCCCCTCAGCCCCCATGGCTGGCAGCCACTGACTGACTTCGCCTCCACGAATCTCTCTAATCCCCCTTTAAAAGCTGCCTATGCCTGTGGCCCTCACGACATCCTCGGGCAGCGAATTCCACATTTCAATCACTCGCTGCGTCAAGCAGTATTTCCTGTTGTCCATCCGGAACCTACTGCCCATCGGCTTCAGCCCATCAAAACCTCAGGGGTCATCCCTAACTACCGTGTTTCCCCGAAAATAAGACCTATCGCAAAAATAAGCCCTAGCAGGATTTCTATGCATCTGTGGTATAAGCCCTAGTGTGTCTTCTTGAGAAAAAATAAATATAAGACAGTGTCTTATTTTCGGGGAAACACGGTAGTTCTGGCGTGACCTCGGCATCCCTAGCCTGTCTCCTTTCGGGCACCCTCCCTCACCCTCCCTTGGCCTTTTCTCCTTGTGGCAGGGGCCCTCTTTGGAGGGAAAGCTCAGGGACCACCAAGGGAAGGACTGAGGCCGGGACACAATGAGGTCGCCCATCTGGCAATGGAGACTGGGGCAAGAGCAGGGGGGGGGGGCCGCCTGCCCTGCCAGAATCCACAT